AGACTTTATGCTCACATCTGATTTATTTTCTGTCGGTTTAGGTGCTTCTGCTGCAACTCTTTCTTGGCAATATCATTGAGAAAAAAATAGGTTATTTTAATTTGTTGCTTATGAAAAAATGACAATACGAGCAGAATAGTTGGTGAGGCCAACTTCAAGGCCATAACGAGGCAGCTCATGTGCATATGCAGCAGAAAGGACATGATCACTAGTGATGGTAGCATATATAATACGGGCAATGGAGAACAGGTGGAAGAAATTATAACTAAACTTGATTCACCATAATGTGAATAACAGGATACAAATCGCACAACAAATCAGTATTTCAAATGTGCAGATCATTCAAGAGAGAACAACAGTAAGAAAGCCAATCTTCTAAGGTGTACTTCAGTAAAACATTATGACATCGAGCAGCCTCGAATCGATCACAGATTAAATCTGCAAGAACATAAAATAAAACACAACTAGTAGCTCGATCATATGTAAAAACCCACCAACATGGGTGATTCAACAACATTGCATACAGAGAAATAAACAAAGGGAAGCAAAATTTTCTCACCATTGCTCCTTTCTCGGCTGTCGGAGAATTCTAAACCCTAGAGGGAAAATGGGGTTGATGGGCTTAAACTCGAGATGAGAGGGGTTGATGGCCTTGCACGCGCGGACCGAGAGTTGGGAGTGAGAAATAAGTTTGTTAGGCGCTGAAATTACCACTATGTCCTTGGGGAATCCCCTGCTAAATTCACACTTTCCACCTTCCTCACTCCACACATGCATTCTTCATCCTGCTGAGGCCTCCCAAAATCCACAGCAACAGCACGAGGAGCCCCAGGAATCGTCTGTTCCCCACGAGGTTCGGTACGTTTTTCTGAAATTTTCTTTTATTGCAATATGAAGAAGAACGGTATTTCTTTTTCGATTGTGTCTATGTGCAAGGATGAATTTTGAGCCATTTTAGATAGGTAGAGAAAACGTGTGAGTGTTGAAACTCGAAAAAAATAGTTGTCCTTCCTTCCGAAATCAAAGAATTTCATCAGATTGATTTAGCACTCGATAAGGAAAAAACACTTAAGTTGATGTTCAGATCTTCAGATTTTTACTTAGTCGGTTACAAGCCATTTAGGGGCATATGGAATCGAACATGGAACTGAAACGTATCATCCATGTTCGATTCAGTTTCCATGTTCGATTCCATATGCCCCTAAATGGCTTGTAACCGACTAAGTAAAAATCTGAAGATCTGAACATGAACATCAATGAAAGTCTTTGATTTCGGAAGGAAAGACAACTATGTTTTTTCGAGTTTCAACAC